GTAGAATTCTATGGTTTTGTTATATCACGAGTTGTTTATCCATTCAACTGTTGGAACTTTTAACTGTTGGCAGTTCATATATTATCAGTAAAAATGCCATGAATATTCTTGTGACATTTTAGAGTGAACACAAGCACTCACTTCTTCTGAGTATACAGCTAGGAGAAGGAAAAGCAGTTATAGTCATATGTTTAGTTTTCGAAGCTGCCAGCTTCCACAACTGTGTGAACTACCTCCTTGCCTCACTTAGAGCTTGACGGCTTCCTGGGTTGGTGAGGTCTCTTTGCTTTCCAATTCTTATGACTTCCAAGCTCCCAGAGATGTTTCAGGGCTGCTTCTAGTCTCTGGCTTCTCTGAGGACAGCCCTCTGGGAAGGCTTGTAATGCCCTGGAGTCTCTCCGTTCTCCTGACCCTTCTCCCATCTTTTGTAATAGAAAGATGTGAGTGCCTGGGGATGGTTCTCTTATATGGGGGGGCCGGGGGGGGGAGCGGGGCAGGAAGGGATAGTGTGTTCTCAGTTCTCTACCCCTCCCTCAGCCTAAAAGTCCAGATTGCTTCTAAAGGATTTCCCTCAACTGTTGCCCTGTCCACCTTCCTGCCTTCAGATAGTATCCGCCTTGCACTTAGAGGACCTGGCATCTCAATGGGATTTTTAAAAGCTTTCTCTACCAAGGGTTCCGTGAAGACCCATGGCAAAGAGTTGGCTGCACACTCCTTCACAGTGGGGGCTTTGGGATTCTAATGTGTCACCCCAGGCCATAGGCAACCACCTCCTTGTCTCACCCCTATATGCCATGCTGGCCCTTCTCCTCTTCCTGCATTTCACCAAGGATAAGAGCAGCAACTCTCTTTTCTTATATAAAGTGTTCCCTACTTTTCACCGCTATGTTCATTTGGCCTTGGGTTCTCAGTTTTCTAAGATGCTGTATGTAGGTTATCCAGTTTAACCAGAAGCAAAACACAACGAATTGTTGAAAATATATATCCAGTACAAGTCCTACTCTAATTGCAATTCTAAATATTTGCCTGAAACTTATTTTAGCTTTCCTAAAGAGACAACCACATCTCCAAACAATGGAACTTTTTTTCATGCCCTCACCCTCAATTCCTTACTTTGTTTTCACACATTGGCTAGAACTGTCATACACTGTTCAATAAAAGTGATGAGCATCTGTATACTTTTCTTAATATAAAGGAATATATATCTACCAGTAAGTGTGACATTGGTCTGTTTTTGGAACATACTCCTTGCAAAGGTAAAGGACTTAATTTCCATTCCTAATTTAATAATATTTAAAAATAATCTATGGGTATTAAATTCCATCAAATGTGTTATCTACACACATTGAGATAATCATATGGCTATTCTTTTATCTGGTAGTGTGGTTAATTTTATGAAAAGATTTTCTATTATTAAATCTCCCAACATCATAATGTATTTTTATAGGGTCACATTCCACTGCATATAACAGAACCAACTCTCTTCCTACCCAAAAAAGAAAAGGTGGTTTAAACAAGACAGTTCGTTTCCCCTTATGTAGAAGATACTCAGATGGTGGTGGTGTGGGGCTGGTATACCAGATAGCCCTGCAGCAGACGGCTTCTGTCTTCCAGATGCATCCAGGCTCTGTAGTGGTTGCTCAATCTCCAAGCACTATGTGTGCTGTGTATTAAAGTGAGGAATGATTACAGGACACTGAGGGGCTTTCTTCAGCTGTTTTCTTGACAACCTTCCCATTAGACAGTGTCAGCAACCTCTATCTCATTACTCAGAATTTAGCAGCAAGATCATACTTTGCTACAAAGACAGTGGAGAAATGTGGCTTTTAAGGCTGGGCCACTGGCATTATGAAAAGTACAGTGATTCTGCTGGTAATGAAGGGATACTGGACTCACGATTAGTGATTTGCTACAATATTGTCATGACTTAAACAAAAAAACCCTCCACATTACTAGCATTTATTAATGCTACATTAACATTTAGTTTATTTTCAACTATGTTCATAAATATGAACTGCAAGTCATTTATCCCTCACGTGTCGATTTTGGGGAAAAATTGTAAAATGCTGGATTATCATTCCTTGAATTTTCCTGAGAATTATCAACTATTACTAAAATTCTCTGGAACTTCTTTCTGTTCTGGGGCTGGGGCAGGGTTAGAAGGACTAGGTAGATTTTCAAGCCAGATATTCAAATTTTTACTTTTCCTTTTTGTTTACTAGTCCTAGACCTATTCATTCTGTTAAATTTCATTTATCTGGTAAACTTTCTTTTTCCTTTCTTTTTTTTTTTTTTCAGATTTTATTTTTAAGCAATCTCTACACCCAACATGGGGCTCAAACTCACAAACCTGAGATCAAGAGTTGCACACTCCACTGACTGAGCCAGCCAGGAGCCCTAAATTTTCTTTTTCATTTACATTAGCCTTTCCCACAGTATTTGATTTCTATCTTCAACATTATGTCAACATTTCTGGCTTCTACTGGGTAACGTTGCATGTGGATTTCCTCACACAATACAGAAACCTTTAAAATCTAATTGACACGGGGTAGTAGTACGCAAATCTAGACATTCTCTTAGGTGTTCATTCTTTATTATGTGTGAATCTTCCTCAGAACATGTATGGCAAAATACATATTCATATTTTCCAGATCTGGGGGACATACTTTACAAATATCTGGCATTCCTTCTTTATGCAAGTTTTCTTTTCCCTTCTGTGAACCATCCTTCTTCACCCCACATATCTTTAGATTGGATCTTATATGAGCTGAACACAATAAGGACCAGGCATTCAAAAATCATTAAATACCTCCTTCAAAGAAGGAACAGTTTCTTTGGGTAAAAGATAGGATTCCCTCCCAAAGTAAAGAGTAGAAAGTGGAGGGTGTTTCAGAAATATCTGCAGTTTGGAATAGTCATATTCCTCCAACACAACCCTAAATGCCATGGTCCCAACTCTTTTCAGGTAAATGCTCTTTCATGTAAGGAAACTGGTGAAGAAAACAGACTTCGTATGAAGGCAAGTAGCAGAATGACTTTTTACCATCCTGACTCTACAGCTATACATACAGGCATTACCTTGGAGATACTGCAGGTCCATTGCAGACCACCACGATGAAGCAAATGTAGCAATAAACCGAGTCAAATGAGTTTCTTTTGGTTTCTCAATGCATACAAAAGCTATATAACAGTTATGTTTACACTACACTGTAGTCTATTAAGTGTGCAAAAGCATTATGTCTAAAAAAAAGCAATGTACACTTAATTAAGAATATTGCTAAAACATGCTGAGCTTTCAGCAAATCATAATCAGTGATCACAGATCAACACAAGAAGTAATGAAAAGTGAGAAATATTGCCAGAATTACTAAAATGTGACACAGAGACATGAAGTAACAAATGCTGTTGGAAAAATGGAGCCAACACATTGGCTCAATGCAGGGTTGCCACAAGCCTTCACTTTGCAGGGGGAAAAAAGCATTACCTGCAAAGCACAATAAAATGACATGTGCCTGTACACATATCGGCAGCATCACTTACATGTATCCCTTAAACACATACCAGGTAACTCAAATAAAAACACAAGAGCTCTAGAATTATAGAGTGACAATAACTAAAGCTATCCTGGGTAGTCTATATAGAAGGAACTAATTAATAATTGCAGGAAAATGTTACCAGAAAACAAAAGCTCAGTTTGCTTTTTGGTACTTCAGGAGTCCATTAGAAAACTGAAATCTGGAATAAATAGCTCAGCCTACTTTGATGATCATGCTGACTCCCTGGCAGGGCACCACGAATGATGATCCCATCATGACCTCTTACACTGAGAGATTATCTTAATGAAAATCAATATGTTCCAACTGGTGAGGACAGAACACATTCCAGCTACACAAGCACATCGATTGTGCACTATACCGATGTATATAACTAAAGAGGTAGTTGCCAGGCCCACTTACAAAGGGTACGAAATAGTAGAAAAGGTTTGTAGTATTGAAATGTATTTTTAATAAATCATATTATTCTAGTAACAAGTTGTATTTGTTAAAAACAATGTTGCTAAGTACAAGTCCCTGGGCAATGGCATGTATCTATCTAACTTACCTTTCATATGTGACATTCACAAGTAAAATGCCAAACTACACAAAACTCATATAGTACAAAGGAAGATAACATTTAAATATCCCTGTAGGTCTTACGATGCATTTCTGGTTATCCCGACTGCATTTATTTACACAGTAAAAAGAAAAATCTTTATATTCTATTTTGGACATGCCTATCATTTATAGTTGAGTGTTTTCTCCAACCCTTTCCTAACAATTTGGAACATCTGGGACACAATTTCCCTCACAATACTTTGTAAAGGAAATTATTTTCCAAAATAATCAAAATAACAGTGAGGGGAACCTTTCTACCGAGCGTTCTGTTACCCCATCTGACATATTCGTAGCTCTTCATTCATATGTTATTATTTTTTAATGGAAGTTTGTCTTTCCTAGATCAAGAATTTCCCTAATTTACACTATAGTTTCTCCAAGGTATGAGTTTCTGATACCTAAAGTATGTGTAATTTGGTAATTCTGTCATTCATTGGCTTTCCATTTTCTCATTAAAATCCTGTTAAGAAAATCCTACTGTTTAATATGAATTTCAAAGGAGTGCGTTCTATATTCAATTGCTTTATGAAACTTCCTCTTTGCAAATTTTATCACAGTAAAAAAATAACTTTCCAACATTCACTTCACTGATATTGTTCCTTACTTGTACAAACTTTAAAAAAGGTATGACTTGATGCTGAAAACTTTCACAGGGTTCACTAAATTCGTAACATTCCTGTGTGCATTTACTGGGTAGGGGGGCGATGTGTAAAAAGCAGCTTTCTGTGGGTGACCCTGCACATGCTGTGCATTTATAGGTTTCTATTCAGTATTAGTTGTCTGGTGTACAATGAGATGATCTCATTATTATAGAGTTTCTCTTCTATAAGAATTTGCTGGTATTTCCTATGAATTGAGTTTTGGAAGAAATTTTCTTACATTTAATTCATCAAGATGTTTTTCATCTGCATGAGTTCTCTGATGCATGATGAGCTGTGACTTCCAACAAAAGGCTTTCCCACATTCAGTGCACTTACAGGGTTTCTCTCCTGTGTGAGTCCTCTGATGTGCACTGAGGATTGATTTCTGAGAGAAGGTCTTTCCACATTCATTGCATCCATAGGGTTTCTCCCCTGAATGAGTTCTCTGATGTACAATGAGCTGGGATTTCCTAATGAAAGCTTTCTCACATTCACTGCATTCATAGGGTTTCTCTCTTGTGTGCATTCTCTGATGTACAATGAGCCGTAATTTTCCACTGAAGGATTTCTCACATTGACTACATTTATAAGGGCTTTCCCCTGCATGAGTTCGCTCATGTACAATGAGTAGTGACTTCCAAATGAAGGCCTTCCCACATTTGTTACATTCATATGGTTTCTCTCCTGAATGAGTTCTCATGTGTATAATGAGATAGGACTTGCTACTAAAGGCTTTCCCACAGTCACTGCATCCATAAGGTTTTTCTCCAGCATGAGTTCTCTGATGAGAAATGAGCTGATCTTTCCTATTAAAGGCTTTTCCACACTCGCTGCATTCATAGGGATTTTCTCCTGTGTGAATTCTCTGATGTACAATGAGTTGTGAATTGAAACTGAAGGATTTCCCGCATTCATTGCATTCATGTGGTTTCTCTCCAGTGTGAGTTCTCATATGTATAATGAGGTATGACTTGCTCCTGAAGGCTTTTCCACATTCACTGCATCCATAGGGTTTCACTCCGGTGTGACTTCTCTGATGCACAATGAGCTGTGACTTCAAACTAAAGGCTTTTCCACATTGATTACATCCATAAGGTTTTACCCCAGTGTGAGCTCCCTGATGTACAATGAGCTGCGACTTGAAAGTAAAGGCTTTTCCACATTCACTACAACCATAGGGTTTCTCCCCTGTATGAGTTCTCTGATGAACAATAAGGTTTGACTTTGTATTAAAGGCTTTGCTACAGTCACTGCATTCAAAGGGTTTCTCTCCTGTATGAGTTCTTTGATGTATAATGAGCTGTGACTTCAAACCAAAAGTTTTTCCACAGTCGCTGCATTCATAGGGCTTCTCCCCAGCGTGGGTTCTCTGGTGTGAAATGAGCTGGTATTTCCGACTGAAGGCTTTCCCACATTCATGGCATTCATATGGACTCTCTCCTGTGTGAATTCTCTGATGTATAATGAGTTGTGAATTAAAACTGAAGGCTTTCCCACAGTCACTGCATTCATGGAGTTTCTCTCCTGTGTGAGTTCTCATATGTATAATGAGGTACGACTTGCTCCTGAAGGCTTTGCCACATTCACTGCATACGTAAGGTTTCATTCCTGTGTGACTTCTCTGATGCACAATGAGCTGTGACTTCAAACTGAAGGCTTTCCCACACTGAATGCACCCATAGGGCTTTACTCCTGTATGAACCCCCTGATGTACAATGAGCTGCGACTTGAAAGTAAAGGCTTTTCCACATTCACTACAACCATAGGGTTTCTCCCCTGTATGGGTTCTCTGATGTACCATAAGGTTTGACTTTGTATTAAAAGCTTTCTGACATTCACTACATTCAAAGGGTTTCTCTCCTGTATGAATTCTTTGATGTATAATGAGCTGTGACTTCAAACCGAAAGCCTTACCACATTCATTACAACCATAGGGTTTCTGTCCTGAATGAGTTCTCTGGTGTGAAATGAGCTGGTCTTTCCTACTGAATACTTTTCCACATTCGCAGCATTCATAGGGATTCTCACCTGTGTGGATTCTCTGATGTATAACAAGTTGTGAGTTGAAACTGAAGGATTTCCCACATTCACTGCATTCATGAAGTTTCTCTCCTGTGTGAGTTCTCTGATGGACAGTGAGGTAGGACTTGCTGCTGAAGTCTTTCCCACATCCCTTACATTTGTAGGGTTTCTCTTCTACATGAGTTCGTTGATGCACTGCAAGGTATGACTTACTGCTGAAAGTCTTCCCACAAAAACTGCATTCAAAAGGCTTTCCTCCTATATACATTTGTTGGCATATGAGTTGTGACTTCTTGTTGACAGTTTTTCCACATTCATTACTTTCACCATATTTTATTCCAATAACAGTTTGCTCATGTTTAGAATGGTGGAATGATTCCCTATATGCACGAAACTCATTAGGATTCTTTCCAGCATAATTACTATTGAAATCTATATTATATTTAAAACTCATTCCACGTGTGATATATTTATGAAGCTTTTGTCTTGAAGAAACATAACTTGTAGTAAGAAGACATAGTTTTCCAAATGTAGGACATTCATAGCCTTTTGCCACACTTTCCAGCTTGCCTTGATTTTCCTGATGCCATTCCATATGATCATCAATTTCCCAGACTTTTTCTAGCAATGAAAATAGTTTTACGTTAAAAATAACATGAACCTGGCATAGCATAAAATTACCTTAAAAATGCCACGTCAAGAGAGTACACTTTAAGTTTCATATATCGGATCTGAATATAAATAAAATCTCAAGTATAGATGTACCAAAACTCTTGGCTGGGGAAAACAAACAAAACTAAAAATAAAGATAGGCATAGAAAACTGACAATGATTAGAAATGATTTTAAGTTTTAAAATGTTGGTAAAGAAAGCAAAATAGGCACAAGTAAAAATAAGAAAAATATAAAGCAGGTGGAAGGGATCTCAGCATTATATTCTTTCAACAAATAATTACTGAATACCTATTATGTGCCAATCACGGTGCTGAACTCAGGAGAAACTCAGAAAACATTGCAAATCAGTTTACAGTCCTCCTGGGAATGAAGTTCTACTGCATACCAAAATACATGAAAATAGACACACAAGGAAAATCAGTGTGATGTTTCACAACACTGAGGACAGGTGGCAGGTAGTAAAGTTTCCAGAGAAACCAAAACTGTTTCGTATAAAGGATCAAAGTGAGAATGGCATCTAACTCTAATCTAATGACATTAGTATCATTAGAGGACAAAATGCAGAGCATTCAGGAGTAAAGTATAAACATCTTCTGAGGCACAGGTCTCAAATTTTATGTTACATGCACTCTTTCACAGGAGGCTACTTAAACAGGTGCTCCAACAAAACAAACTAAGAAAAAAGATGACACAGAATAAATATGGAAAATAAAATTTGAAAGGAGACTCCAGGATAAAACACTAGTACAGCCAGGGTACGAGGTAAACTAGGGTCATGCTGGAGCAGTTGAAGGACAAGGGAGTGACATCATCAGGAAGAGACAGACAGAATCACTAATGTGGCTGAATGTAGCACAGGAATATTTAGACACGTGAAGAGAAGTCTGAGGTTAATGATAAATACACTAACGATAAGAACAGAGAAACCTCAGCAGGCAAATAAAACAACTCAAAAGAAAAAAAATGATGTATGAACAAAAATTAGCCATTGCATATTTGCATGATTCTCCTGTGAATAGAAATTACATAGTCATAACGATGTAAGAACTGAAGACTGATCTAACCCAAATGAAATAACTTTTAGTAGGATGACTGGGGTATAAGAAGAGACAGTGTGCCTATCATGGGGAGTGTGGAAGAAGGGGAGGTGAAAGAGAATTAAATCGTTACACTGTTATACCGAATAATCATCATTGGGGAAAAAATCAAGGTGCAGTAGAATAAGCTGATTATTTAGAAATATGGAAGCGAATACCATAAAAAAGAGCTAGAAGGGATGAAAGTGGTTTTACCTGGGGGGAACAGAACACTGAGAGGGGGCAGGCTGAACAGAACGCTGCTGACGACAAAATCCAAAAGCCAAAATTAGAAAGTAGAGAGGGTGGATGCCTGGGTGGCTCGGTCGTTAACCGTCTGCCTTTGGCTCAGGTCATATTCCCAGGGTCTTGGGATCAAGCCCTGCATCGGGCTCCCTGCTCAGCAGGAAGCCGGCTTCTCCCTCTCCCACTGCTTGTGTTCCCTCTCTCACTGTCTCTGTCAAAAAATAAATAAAATCTTAAAAAAAAAAAAGAAAGAAAGAAAGTAGAGAGAGAACAAGACACAGGACCCAGTCCTCAGGCACAATGGCAAGTATTTGGAGGCTGACCAGGAGAATGGTTGATCTAGATGTCCTAAAGTAATATGCTGACCAAGGCAACAAAGAGGAAACAGCATTAAGAGAATATGGCAGCAAGTCAGGCTTGGAGATGGCAGATCAGAGGACCTTAATACCTCATTCCAGGTTTCCCTATCTCTCAAATCTGATCACTCTTCATTTTGCACAGTCTCCAAATTGTATTTTCCCAAGTTGGGGAGTTACCTCCTCCTGGATGCACTGAGAAATGAACGCTGGGAACTTCTGACTATCATGATGACTTGGGAGGGAGTGTTACTGGCTATTCCATGGTTCTAAACTCAGAAATGTTTCCATCAAGAAAATAGGCCAGAGAGTAATTAATCTTTGCCTGGGAATCAGATTTGCTCATGTGTTTGGCTAATAGTCTTATCCCTATACACTTTCAGAGTTCATGGACACTAAATCTGTCCTAATCCTCTACCACGTAACCCTTCTGTGGCTGGAACCGTAACCGTCCTACTTCCCCTGGTTAGCCACAGCTCTGACTTCTTGATTTCCTAGGAAACCTTAACACATTTTCTGTTGAGCATTCTCTTATGCAACAATAATGGCAGATAATGATATTATGGCTGGTATCTCAGGGGAAATTTCAAAGAATTCCAAAATTCAGGAAACAATACCAAAGCCAATATATAGAAGACAGAATTTCCTAAGCTTAAATATTTAAACATGACTGAAGATGATTACTGTTTGTGGTTCTCAAGTAATCCCTGGAAACTCCACTTGCACCAACAGAATTCAGATTCTAAAGCTACAGAATAGCATTCTCCCAAACCACCATCTTGAGTGTAGCCACAGAAGACAATGGAAAAGGGAATTATGCTCAGAGAGCAGAACCAAGGGCTCACTAGGCCCCTGCCACAGCAGGAAGTCCTGGCGCAAACTGCCCAACCAGGGTGTCAACACACTGCAAACCAGACTTCTACGTGGCATTCACTGTGGCTGCTCTCCCAGAATGGGAGCTCCTATTGTACCTACACTGCACGTGTCTCTACCACTCTGTACTTGTCTGCTCGGTTGTACATGAATAACTTAGCTTTAATTGTATGTTACCAGACGTTACCTGGGAACAAAGATCCAAGAGTTCCATTAATACAGTACAAGAAGGAAAATGGGTGGTGAAATATTTCTGAAGATGGATGGATTGGAAGAAGAGTATGACTAGAAGCTGCCTAGCCAAAGAGGTGGATGAAGGCAGACAGTGCTGCCTACCCCACAATCCCTCCTCCCTTTCCCTGACTGGCAAAGCCTGACTTTTCCCCATCCTTAAGGCCATGTGCTTCACTCAGGGAAATGGGGACCCATCACCACTGCTACCTCTACCTCACCCCCAGAAGGTGAAGCATCATTTACTGGAGCCAACAAGTGCTGGGCCCACTTCCCTTGCCAGAGTCTTATTCAGACAGGGGTTTGTGATAAAAACCTAGTCCCCTAAGCATGACAAGTTTGCTGAGACTTCCTGGAATAGGCTTTACCACCTGATAAAAAGAGCCATGGGGGAAAAGCAGTTTACTTGTTCTATTGGCCAGTGGTATATCTGCAGGTGTTAGCTAGAACTGTAATAGCCACCTGATGACCACGAGGGGAGTGGACCTGAGGAAAATGGCAGGGTAGAGATGGACCTTTGGTGATTTACTGAATCAATCACTTAGTCAATCCTACAGCTGCCCCAATGCAGGACGTTTTGTGATGTGTGGTAATAAATAACTTCTGTTTCATAGGTTGATTTGGGATTAATCAGAAATTACAGCTGAAATAATCCTAATGATACAAAGACTAACTGGATTCATTCTGCCATGCCTGTGACAGATTAACCATGTCAGGGAAACCTATCTGACAGCAATATCAAGATGAACAAAAGGAGTAAGATGCATACATTTGGTTAATAAATAGAATGATCAAGAAATGAGATACTGGCCTCGTTTTGGGTGGGAACTGGGAATATGGGAGCCTTAAAAGACTTCTTTTTAGGGAACCAAAACATTAACAGATTTCAGCAACACTAGTGAACAAAACTGCATATAAAGGAGATTTACGCTGACTCTCCAGTGCCAAGAGAAAGAGCTAGAAGGAGAGCAGAATTAATAAACAATCAGAAAGGTGAGAAGAAAGTACGATGTAGCTATGGAGCAATGCGACAGACAATTCCAGTTTCTGAAAATGAGACAAGGGAGTGGCACATGCAAGAAAGATGCCCAATGGACCAATCAAACTCGGTACCAAAGGCCAGATGAAAGAGGGATGGGCTGTCAATTACCAAAAGAGAAAAACAGCTTAAATCTTCAGAATGGATGTCTTTCAAAGGTTACAATATATAAGAAAAGTAGTGAATATGGAAAGTCCCTTTGGACTCATAGGGAAGAACAAGAGAAGCCAGCAAAGCATGAAAAGAATAAGCACTTCATCATGTAGTGTGTGAGTGGGTTCCATGGGGTGGCCCATGAAGAAGGGGGAGGGGAGGGCTCAAAAAAGGATGACTAATATCCAGGGATGTAGGAATGCACTTAGAAGGGACAGTGATGACTTCTCCTAATAGATTTCAAGGAGAAGGAAGGATGTTGGGACTATGGTTGTTGACTATAAGTGTAAGAGATTTTAAAAATATAATTTAAAAAAAAGAAAGTAGAAGGAAGAGTGAAAGTCACATCAAGAGAGATATAGAGAAAAAAGCCTGTTTAACTGCATAACAAAATGAGTCTACTCTCCTGGGAAAGTACACAGGAAACGGAGAATTCCAGAGAGGAAGAGATGGACTAAGACAGAATGGTTACGAATGAGACAAAAAGTACAAACGTGAGGTGTATGTCACATCAGAATTCACATCAATTCTGAATAAGGAAGAAAAGATCTAAATATCCTCATCACTCACCTGGATGGCCTTGACTTGGGATTTGGGCCTGCATCATCCACAGTTCTTCTTGTTCCAACTTGAAGACGATATCAGGTTTGCTGTCTTGATACCCTGTGAATGGAAAATCACAACCAACCTGGACCAAACTACCTCGAACCCTGAAGAAGGGGGAAGAGTCAGTTTAGAGGCAGCACAATAAAGCTGCCCTTCTGCCCCATGGGAAAGTGAAGACCATTTTCAACTAGCATATTCTGATGCCAAAGGGAGGCTAAGAAAATCTGGCCTTTAAATATAAATCCAAAATCACTAAGAATGTTGCAAAAGCCACCCAGCTTTCAGCCACCAAGAAGGGGAAGCCTGGAGATTACATACAGTCCTTTCGGGGAGGGAGCTCCTACCCAGGGACACCAGGTTGCTGTAGTTCTCCAACATCACACTCCTGTACAGGTGCTTCTGAGTGGGATCCAGCAGCCGCCACTCTTCCCAGGTAAAGTCCACAAACACATCCACGAATGACAATGGTCCCTGAAAGAGTACATTCCTATTCAATCTCAAATTCTTTACTGAGTTTCTGGGAAACAACAAGCTGCCTAGGATGTCCATTGTTTATATTCTACTTTGTAAGAAAAGCAAAAATTTATTGAAAACATTCCATCAATGTATACTAAATCAGTCAGCCTTTCACTCAACATATGAGAATACCAGGTGCCAGATACTCAGCAAGGTGCAGGTGATATAAACTTGAGTGAAGGGACATCTGGGTGGCTTAGTCAGTTAAGTGTCCATCTCTTGATTTCGGCTCAGGTCATGATCTCAGGGTTCGGGGATCAAGCCCCGTGTCGGGCTTCACACTCAGCAGGGAGTCTGCTTGAGGATTCTCTCTCCCCCTCTCCTTCTGCCCCTGCCCCTGCTCATGCACTCTCTCTGTCTCTCTCTCAAATAAATAAAATAAATCCTTAAAAGAAAACTTGAACAAAACACAATCCTGTCCACAAGAAGTGTTCACCACTGCATAGAAAAGCAAAGTCAAACATCTGTGAATGCAACTGGGAGTCAAAGAAGCTAAGACAAAAGAACATACAGAGTACAACAAGGGCACAAAGATGGAAGCAGCAATGCTATTCATTACAGATACATCTCTGACTGTTTAAACTATCCTAGGAACCACCTGCACAGGGTAACCAAATGTCCCAGTGTACCCAGGACTAAGGGATTTCCCTAGACATGGGACCTTTGGTGCTAAAGGCAGGACAGCTATAGTCAAAAAGGAATGGTTGGTCATCCTACTTCTGCAACACTTCCTTACCTCCAGGTGCCTCAAAAAGTGAAGGTGATATAAACAAGGATAAAAGACACTCCTGCCTGAGAGAAGCGTTTAGCATTGCAGAAGAAAGCAAAGTTTAAAACATGCAATTGCAACAGGAGGTTAAAGAAGCTAAGATGAACAAACATACAGAGTACAACAGGGGCACAAAGGAAGCTAGCAATGCCACTTGGAAGTGTCAGGCTGAATCTGTAAAAGGGTACTGCAGGGGCAGCCACTGTGAGAGAAGACATGTTAAAACTCACGTGGAATGAAAGCACAAAAGCTCTAAGTAGTAGCCAATTTGTGCGGCAAATGATCTGAATAAGAAGATACACAGATGGCAAATAATGATGCTCAACATCATATATTATTAAAGAATTGCAAATTAATAATAACACACCATCACACACTTATTAGAATGACTAAGATTATAAAACAGTAATAACAACACCAAATTTCATGGAAGATGTGAATATACACATCCAAGAAGCTGAACAGAATCCAACAAAGAGGGGCATCTGGGTGGCTCAGTCGGTTAAATGTCTGCCTTCAGCTCAGGTCATGACCCCAGGGTCCTGGGATCGAGCCCCATGTCGGGCTCCCAGCTCAGTGGGGAGTCTGCTTCTCCCCCTACCTACTGCTCTCTCTCTCAAATAAGTAAATAAAATCTTTAAAAAAAAAAAAAAAAAGAATCCAACAAAGATGAACTCAAAGAAATCTACACCAAGACCTATTATAATCAAATTTTCTACAGACAAAAACAAAGAGAGGATCTTGAAAGCATCAAAGAAACAATTTGTCACACACAATGAATCCTCAGTAAGGTTATAAGCAGATTTCTCATCAGAATCTTTGGTGGCCTGAAGGCAATGGACCCATATATTCAAAGAGCTAAAGGAAACAAAATTGTCGACCAAAAATCCTGTATCTGTCAAAACTGTCCTTCAAAAGTAGGAGGGGAAATTAAGACATTCCCAGAAAAACAAATGGGAGTTTATTACCACTAGACTTGCCTGAAAGAAATGCTCAAGGGAGTCTTGCAGGTGAAATAAAAGGACACTATAAAATAATTCAAAGCTGTATGAAGAAATAAAGATCTTAATAAAGGTAGATACATGGACAATCATAAAAGGTAATACTACTTTAATTCTGGTTTCTAACTCCACATTTTGTCTTCTAGATAATTATAAGAGACTAATGCATTTAAAATAATTATTAGTTTGTGTTTAGGGGCACACACTGTACAAAGATGTAATTTTGTGACATCGATAACCAAAAGGGGTGGGGACAGAGCTATAGAGGAGCAGAATCTTTGTATAGTAACAAAGTTAAGCTGGTATAATTTCAAATAAGAATGCTATAACTTTAGGAAGTTAAACATAATCCCTATGATAACCACAAAGAAAATAGCTATATAATTTACGCAAAAGGAAATGAGAAACAAATTTAGATATTTAACTAAAGAAAAAGAAATTAAACACAAAAGAAGACAGTAATGTAGGGATTGAGGGACAAAAAAAGCTGTAAGGTATATAAAATTCAGACAAAATGAAAGAAGTAAGTCCCTCCTTATCAGTATTTACTTTAAGTGTAAATTGATTAAACTCTCTAATCAAATAGAGAGATTGGCAGAATGTCTTAAAAACCATGGCCCAACTATAAAATGTCTAAAAGAGACTCACTTTAGATCCAAAGGTAAAAACAGATGGAAAGTAAAAGAATGGATAAAGATATTCCATGCAAATAGTAACCAAAAGACAGCAGGGAGGGCAGGGAGGGTAATACCAATATCAGACACAACAGACTTCAAATCAAAAAAGGTCGTAGGAGGGGTGCCTGGGTGGCTCAGTTGTTAAGCGTCTGCCTTCAGCTCACGTCATGATCCCAGGGTCTTGGGATCAAGCCCCTCATCAGCCTCCCTGCTCAGCAGGAAGCCTGCTTCTCCCTCTCCCACTCCTCCTGCTTGTGTTCCCTCTCTTACTGGGGCTCTGTCAAATAAATAAAGAAAATCTTAAAAAAAAAAAAAGAAAAAAGGTTATGGGGGGGCATCTGGGTGGCTCAGTCGTTAAGCATCTACCTTTGGCTTGGGTCATGGTCTCAGGGTCCTGGGATTGAGTCCCACATCGGGCTCCCTGCTCAGCAGAGAGCCTGCTTCTCCCTCTTCCTCTGCTGCTGCCCCTGCTTGTGCTCTCTCTGTGTCTGTCTCTCTCTTTCTGTGTCAAATAAATAAATAAAATCTTAAAAAAAAAGTTTATAAGAGGGGGTGCCTGGGTGGCTCAGTTGGTTAAGCGTCTGCCTTCAGCTCAGGTCATGATCCCAGAGTCCCAGAATTAAGCCCTACATCAGGCTCCCTGCTAAGCAGGGAGTCTGCTCCTCCCTCTTCCCCTCACCCCATTCATGTTCTCTCTCTCACGCTCTCTCAAGTAAATAAAATCTTAAAAAAAAAAAAGGTTATACGAGACCAAAAGGGAAATTATATATTATTAAAGGTTCGATACCACAAGAAGATATAACAATATAAAGTTATACATGTAATAACAGGTCACTGAATTAAATGAAGGAAAAACTGACATAATTGAAGGAACAAAATTTTATAATGATAATTGGAAATGTCAATATCCCACTCTCAATGGATAGAACAACTAGACAGAAGATAAGAAAACAAAACACTTAAACAAAGCAACTATATCTAACAGACATATGCTAAATATTCTACCCAACAAGAGCATACATATACTTTTCAAGTACACATGGAACATTGTACAGGATAGACTATGTGTTAGCCCACAAATTAAGTCCCAATAGATCTTAAAAGATGAAGATCAGGGCACCTATGTGGCTCTGTCGATTAAGCATCTGACTCTTGATTTTGGCTTAGGTCATGATCTCAGGGTTGTGTGATTGAGCCCTGTGTTGGGTCTGTGCTGGGCATGGAGCCTGCTTAACGTTCTCTCTCCCACTTCCTCTGCCCCTCCCCTACCACTCATTGTGTGCTCACTCTCTCTCTTAAAAAAACAGATAAAGATCATAAAAAGTATTTTCTCTGACCACACAGGATAAAGTTAGAAATCAATAACAGAAGGAAAAAACTGAAAATTCACAAATTCAGGGAAATTAAACAACACATCTTAACCAATGGATCAAAGAAAAAATCAAAAGGTAAATTAGTAAATACTTATACATGAATGAAAACAAAACACAACATACCAAAATTCACAGGATGCAACAAAAGCAGTGTTGAGGGGAAAATTTACTAGATGGATAAACAGTACAGTAGAGGAAGCAAAAGAACAGATCAATGATCCAGAAGACAGAGTAATGGAAATCAATCAAGCTGAAGAAGAGAGAGAAAAAAATAATAATGAAAAATGAAAAAAGACTTCGGGAACTCAGCAACACCATCAAGACTAGTAACATTTGCATTATATGGACCCCAGAAGGAGAACAGAGAGAAAAGGGGGCAGAAAATTTATTTGAAGAAATAACAGCTGAAAATTTGCTGAATCTGGAGAAAGGAACAAAAATCCAGATCCAGGAGGCACAGAGAGCCCCCAACAAAATCAACCCAAGGAGGTCCACACCAAGACACATAGTAATTAAAATGGCAAAAAAGTAGCGGTAAAGAGACAATTTTAAAGCAGCAAGAGAAAAGAAAGCAGTTACATACAAGGGAAACCCATTAGGCTATCAGCGGATTTTTCAACAGAAACTTTGCAGACCAGAAGAGAGTGCCATGATATATTCAAAGAGCTGAAAGAAAAAAACCTGCAGCCAAGAATACTCTATCCAGCAAGGCTATCATTCAGAAAAGGAAAGATAAAGAGTTTTCCAAACAAAGGAATTCATGACCACTAAACCAGCCCTACAAGAAATATTAAAGGGGACACTCTAGAGTGGAAAGGAAAGACCTAAGTAGAAGTAAGGAAAGTAGGAAGCACAAAAGCAGTAAAAATAAGTATCTCTACAAAAATCAGTCAAGAGACTCACAAAATAAAAGGATGTAAAATATGACACCATATACCTAAAATGTGTGGACAGCAGGGAGGGAAGAATGGGTTCAAACTTAAGCAACCATCAACTTAATACAGACTGCCATATGCATAAGATGTTATACTCAAACCTAATGGTAACCACAAATCAAAAACCACTAATACGAAAAAAATAAAGAGAAAGGAACCCAAGTATATCACTAAAGAAAGCCAATAAACCATGAGAGAAG